CTATAAGATACTTAATATAGCCCCTCGGTTAAATCTTATATATCTTTCTCTCTCTTCTAGCCTCTCTATTCCTATCTCAGGGATAGGCGCGGTAACCGTAGGTATAAATACTATTCTAATCTAGCCGTAGGTTAGCGGAATACTCTCTTATCTTAAGCGGCGCGTGCTTTTTAAACTATAAGTCTAGTACCTTAATAGTGGACTTTTAACCTAAGCGCTACGATAGACTTATATTATAAAGTTACGTCGCTACTCTTATACTCTCCGGCTATATAAAACGTAGAAGACCTACGCTATTTAGTATAGCGTTAGACTTTATAACGATAGCTTATCCTACCCTCTTAATAGCGCTATTCGGTTTATAGGTATACAGAGGCGCGATCTCTATATTATTGCCCTTCGTGCTCGCCTATAGCTAGGTCCGCGAATCCCCTACTATATATACGATTAAAGGCTCGTTATTACTATATATCTTATAGATATATAGATTAAACTAATACGTAACCTATCTTTCGAACGCTTTAAGGGCGTTATAGACTATAACGCTGTTTTTTAACGCTAAAGACAGTATATAAATCTAACTGCTATACTCCTCCTTAATAATAAGGAGATAACGTATACCGTTATAACTCTCCGGTAATTCTTATAAGTCCTAATAAATACGCTAGAACGGCTTAGGCGAGCGGTAATCTAATAGTCGACAAGATATAACCTAATAAACCTATATTCGAGTATATATTTTACACTTAATCCGCTTAGTGCCTTATATTAGCATATTCCGGGCGTTACGAACTAGTGCTCGGAGAGCTTCTAGTCTTAGGTGGCCGGCCCTTAAGTGCTATAGCCTCTCTTCGTTAATATAAGGATAAGGGGAATCTCGAGATAGTTAAAATAGCTTCGGAAGCGGCGCTTTTATCGGTCGATCGATAGCTACTACTAGTATATAGAAATATACGGGTAAGAAGAAGAAAAGGATAAAATTAGCTTATACTAAAGAATAGTTATATTAAAGCGTCGTAATAGCTTTAATAAAACCACGCTCTTATCCGCTATTCCGTATCGTAGTAAGTAGTTATATCCCGAATACTAGATCCTAACCTTATATAATAGAGCTTCCGAGATAATATTCGTGTAAAATCCCTCTACTACGATAACGTCGTTAAGCTCTAAGTCGACTTTCGGAGTACCTAATAGTCTATTAAGAAGGCCCTTAAAGATCTATTTACCTTTACCGATAATAGAGAATTCCGTGGTGCCGAATTTAATAGTACCGTTTATCGGGACGAAAGATCCAGGAATAAGTAGGTCGATTAAATTAACTAAGTGTATCGCGCCGTAGTTATCTAAAAGGGTGCTATATAAGAGCGGGTAGGCGCTAGATTATAGCGCCGCGTAGATACCGGGAACTTCCCCTATATCGTAAATAAGGGTTAGATCTAAGATAGTTATAATAACCTTTAAGGGGTATCCGTTACCCTTATCGCTGCTTTTACCGGCGCTTCCCTATCCCTTTTTTAATAGGGTTTTTTATAGACTTTTCCACTTTTATTACTATAGCTTTTTCCGGATTTATTCGATATAATTATCGCTTATCTATACGGATAGCTACTACTCGTATTTACCTATAAGAGTATACTCTATTATAGAGCTCCGGCTTCCACGAATAAGTCCTATTATAGGGGTATTTATACCCCTTACCCTTACCTTTCTTCCCTTTTCTGCTACTATTATTATCTTTATCGGAGCGGTCGCCTAGGGTAGCGTAAACGCTATACCTAGTTCTATTAAGGCTAGGAGCGCTTATAATCGCGTTAAATTCGCGGCCGTATATTAGGATATCGTTAATTTCTTCGTCCTTATTCTCTTTACGGATTAGTTCGTGGAACTTAGCCTTTACCTAAGCCGGGGTAAAACGCTACCTAACTATAACGAGGAAGTTACGGATAGCTATAGAACCCTTAACGTCGTTTACTTTATACTAACGATAGCGCTGGATAAGAGTATTCTACTCCGTATACTACACTACTACCTTTATATTAGCTTTTCGGGTATCCTGGAGGTGCTTATTATATACTCGATAGACCTCCTTAGCTAAGAATAGTACGCTAGGAGCGAAGTATTTCTTTAATTCCTTTATTACTTATCGAATCGTGAAATAACGGTTTTATTTCCCCTCTTCGTAGCTAGGGTACTTCTTAATAACTTCCTCGACGGCTTATTAATAGGTAGAGGTTTCGATAATCGCTTTAAGTATATAATTAACTTTATTAAGCGTCTTAATCGATGAGGCGAACTTTTAATTACGTGCCGTAACCTTATAGCCTTTTAGCTTAGCGAGCTCGATTAATTCTAACGTGGTAGGAGGGGTCGGCACCCCGTTAATAACCTAGGTGTGTTTTTCGCGTAGTTAGTCGATAGATATAGGTATAACGTACTCGGGTCGGTTATCTAGCTACTCCGGCCTATTAGGGTCGAGTAAGGCCTAGACCTTTATACCCTACGTATATAACTTAATATAGAAGATTTAATCGGCCTATTACCTAGTAGACTCTAGTCGCGGTATACTAAGCGTTTCGGCGGTAACTTTAAGCTTTATAGATATAGTTTATAGTAGGGGTTTAGCGAATAAGGGCTTTTCTAAGCGAGAGAGTAGGGTAGATACTCCTTAATTAGCTATAGAAGCACACGTAACGGGTAGAAATAATATATAGGTAATAGATTAGCTAAAAGTTACTAGTAATAAATACTACTACCTGGGCTTATAACTATTAGATTAACGGGCGTGTAACCCGGCCGGAGCAGAGATTTAATAGATATATAATTATCTTCTTTTTATAAAGGAAAGAAGAATAGGAAGGTATAGATGTTCTAAATACATCTACCCCTTTTCCACGCGAGGAATATAGGGCTAGTCCAGCTAATAGAAACACAGAAAACAGGCTCACGTGTTTTTAGTGCGATAATTATGCTATGGCGGACGGGCATCAAGCCTCGTGTTAGATGTCCTCGGCCGACAGGGTCGTGTTTGAGGGCCCGAAATTATGTGCGACGAATCATCCGTACGAGGACAATTATATCGAGTTTCCTAAGCGGCTCGCGTTCTTTCTAGCTCATATCCCTGTGTGAGGAAAAGAAATAGGCGCTTCGTAGGTACGAATAAAAGGGGCCTATGTAGGTATCCTCTTCCAAGCTACCTACCTTATTGTGTACGAATATATCCGACGTCGCCAACCAAGTCACACCCTCTTTTCCATCCGACTAGGTAACTACGGGGATCCAAGTCTTCTGTGGGTGCTTGCTTGGAGCAGGTAATTGGTTGACCTAGCATGGAGGCAGTGGATCTTATTAAACAGTACCCAGAGCCAAGACGGCGATTCTTATTACACGTGTAAGTTGCGAGGCCAAGCGAACGAATCCCTTGGTCCCCGTTCCTTGTTCGGCACATCCCGCAGCTGGGATTGAGATTTCACGAGTCTGGAACTTCGTGCTCCCTACGAGCATCCATAGGTAGTTTTTGGATCCCGAGGCCGGATATCTCGGTCGGTACATCGCCAGTTAAACAGCCTGCATGCCGCGTTGGGGACGTCGAAATCCACAGGGCCGGTGTATCTCTGCACCGCCTCACGCCTCGGGGAGGACGAAAACGTGCTGTTACTGATTGGCGAACTCACAAGGTAGAGCGCTAACTGGCGAACCGGCGTCTACCTTATTCAACTCTGCATAGCGGGGTTAATATCCCCGCACGACGTGTAAAGCTCAAATTTCGACACACTAGTCCATATGATATGTGGTTGGAGAGCCACAGGGTGTACGTATCCATCGCATCGAGATCTCTAAAGTCGTAGCAGACGCCGGTAGCATGCAGTCAGTCATAAGTCCCTACGAAATGATACCCGCGGTTCTTTCAAGGAGGAGACAACCCCGCCAGCACGGACAATACGTTGTATGCGGAATAGTTCAACTGGCCTGGGTTTGGTACGATAGGTTAGTGAGTCAGGGCTGAACAGTGAACTCCAGGGCAGACCGCCGCAGTTACAACAACCCCCCGGTGTTATCTCGGTATAATGGTTTCGTAACCTTGGCGGTAATAACTAAGTAATTATTAGCATGGATCTTTTGAACTATGCGATGTCGCCATGGATCTTGAGACCCCACTACTTATCGATTCCCTAATTCAGAGAGACGGGCGTTCCTGAACTTGTAGAGGCAAGAGAAAAAAAAAAGAAAAAGAAAAGGAAAAAAATAGGGGGAGGCACTGACAAACGACAAGGTAAGTACTTATTTTTCGAACCGGCAGATATGTTACTGGACTCATTCAGGCTACATAAGGTTCTTGATTCTGTAGGACACCTTGTGTAAAACCGGGTCGGATTTTCATCATGAGTTAAATACATCGTATATTGAAGTACAACGTAATTACCATATAGAAATTGCCCAGTACTTTCTAGTGGGATGAAAACGGTATCCCTATTGTGTACTAATCCGTACTTCGTCCCCACCGGCAGGTAAGGTATATATGTAGGCTGGGCTAACTAATAGATCTAGCCGAGATCTTGATAACGGGCCGTGGGTTGGTTGACGAGTTTCTGAACAGGGACAGGGTCGCCTCGCCCCCAGTTAGTAATTAGGAATTATATGCCTAGAGCACTATCAATAATGCCAAGCATCTCATCTGCCTCCTCTATGGTCGAGCCTCGCCGCCGTTCGGCGCCGGCTCTCTCGGCAGGCCGGTTAGTGCATACCTTACGTAACAACGAATACGTGCGATTTCCGGGCTGGAACAAGTCCGTGTTTATTCTTCGCGCTTGTGGATAATTAGATTCGCCTGTCGTCACGTTTTAAGGCGCAAGGCGAAGAGACGGCTGCCGTTTTAATAGCCCGCAGGTTTATTCTCCATTTTCTTTTTTCTTCTTTTTTTCTTCTTTTTTCCTTCTTCTTCCGGCTTGCTTTGGTTGGTGTTTGTTTGTTCAAATGTTTGTTTGTTCGCGGATAACTGGATTATGGGTCGTACTCTACTGGAAATGCCAGTTATTGTTCTGTGCGAGGAGCATCCACAATCCATTATCTATCAATATCCCAGTTTCGAACCATTGACTACGAAGAACAGGGCTCCTGGCGGTGATCTCTACACGTGTAGAGAACGGGACCCACTCTTTCCCCCTAGTGCACCGCATGATCGCAACATCAATAGACGATCCTGTTTCAGGAAGAAAGTTCTGCTGCCATTGGATAGTCCTTGCTGTCTGATTTCGAGGCGAAATGGCGAATCCGGAAAGTTGGGATGCCTATAGGGCTTTGCGCCCATGCCAGGCCCATGATTGGTGATGCCTCGGCGCCAGTGGAGTTGTTCGAGTTGTGTGGCCCGAGTCACTGGGCGACGGACTCGGAGTCTTGTAAATGTGCGAAGAATGGACTTGGTGGCCGGGCTGCCAAGACCTCCGTGCTTATGGACACCGTCATTACGTACTTGGGTAGCCTTACCGATAGGTACTTGACAATCTCCCGCCGTAATTACCTGTAGTGTACCTAGTCGAAAGAGTCGAGAATCGTTTGGCTCAACTTGGCTCAGGTAGCCATCCAATACACGTGTACTTCAGGAATCTCGGGATGACAACCAAATGACTACGAGGCAGTGAGTGAGCTCAAGCACGGATGTACGTTGTATGCGGAAGGTATGTGGGCAAGGCATAGGCACGGAACGGATATGTGGGCGGCTAAGACTTAAGGAACCTACGATGTCTGCGAGATGTAGTTCTACTTTATAAATCTTCATTTTCGGCAAGCATGTGCGTGTGTCATCAGATGTTTGGTGTACCTATACCTAATTGTACCTACTGCACCTCTACGATACATTCAAGACCAATCAAGCTCTGCTTTCGTACTGGATTCTGTCGGAGAGGAGGCTTTGTCTATGGTGACCAACCAGAGGCAAAGGGATAAGCGGGGAAGAATAGGACGCGTAGGGCTGAGATAGAAGTGCTTAGGAGGCTGTCTTATTCCCTACCACAAGGTACTTATGTTCACTGCAGTTTTCGTGAAGCCGCCAACAAAGCCCCTTTTCTTGCCCCGCGTCGTAGAGCTTTTTCAGGGAATCGTGATCTTCGAAGGGAGGAAATATGCGTGTCCATGGTCGCCCCGCCCCGCCCACTTCAAACTCTTACGTTGTACACGTGTGCGTACCTACAGCAGATCAAGCCAAGTTGGGACGGCACTTGGAGCATGCTATGTCTTGCCCTGCTTTCGGCTACTCACCGCCTTGGCCTCTGTCGTCAGCAGGGCTGAGTGAGACTCTAGTATGTATATACGTTGTATACGGATACATGGCGTAGCTTACTCGTAGCCGCGTGACCTTGTATATCTTGCGACATGATGCTGCGGACTTTTCTTGCTCAATTACTCAAGCATGTAACGTCATTTGATGAGCATCTCATGGCATCTCATAATTAGTATATACCTCCCCACCTCATGCTGTGTTATCTTGCTGGGTATGGTTCATCCCTGCAGACAATTCCATCCTCTATCGAGGCGACGAAATGACCAGTCCAAGAAGGGCGATATGTCATTGCTGGTCATGAGTCAAGGACCACATCCCCAAGAATCCCGCGCCCTCTCTACCGGCATAGCACCGTAGCTGTGAAAACCCATAGGAGCCGGATATCTCCTAACTTGGGGCCCTCTGCGCTTACACGTATGAATTCTATAAAAAATATACGAATATCATATATACTTTTCTGTCTAGTCGGCCTAGGTGCCGTTTCGGGAGAAGGGTTTAATGCGTCCGAGTAAGTACGACGTACTTCGTACTCAGTCGCCTTGCGATAAATACCAGGTAGGGCTAGGAGCTTTTCCCCTTCTATCCCCACGCTTACGTTATAGACCCTGTAAGGTTCCCCTGATTGCACCCTCTGGGTTCACCCCGAATAAGCCCCCTTCCCTTCCCCCGGTCACTTATGCAGAAACAACCCCCCTTTACCCACCTATGCCTAATACCCTGAACCCATAATCCACCCCCTATAATTACAGTGGCCATGGCATTCCCACCCTACGAACCACTTCGTCCAGGTGCAGTACGTTATAGACTGGTTTTTGTCCGCTAATTAAGTGGAGTTCGTGGCCTTGTAGTGGACTTGGCAGACTACTATTTGTCATATGTACCGTATTTACCGCACTGTCTATATCCCAGGGGGCGGGCCATGACTTCAAGAAGTGGCCTCGGGGTCCTACTAACTAAGGGTGGTGAGGTACTCTTTTCTATACTGCTCCTCTTATATAGGTACCTTATAAGAGGAAGAAAAAAATAGAAGGCTATTATTTTAATACTAGTCTATCCAAAAAGAAATACTGCTACATTCATAATCCATGAATGTACTTAAGATCGGTCGGTGATTAGCGTCCGGGAGTGGTAACGGGGACGAGGGCTTCTTTGCCCACGATCGTACTTCGTACTTCGAATGCAAGGTTACAAGTACAACGTACTATGCACGGGCTAGGGGATTGACAGGAGGCAGGAGAACCTAGAACGAAGTGGAGCACGCAAGCCGCCCTGCAAGGCCCTGTATCCAGTCCCCGAGCTTACGAAGGAGTGCGAGTACCTGTACGGTGTAGCCCTGTAAGGTTCGTCCAGTGATATGAGGGTCAACTCACACTTCTCACGTCGTAACGCGCGGTCCCCTACCCTGTTACTCCTGAATGCTGGTATTCAATAAGGTACATGCCTTCTCCGTAGTACCTCCTCCGTACTATTTTCTGCAGCACGTTTTACCATATTACCTTACCTTACCTTACCTTACGTCGTAGGATATTGCCGAGCACACTTCTTTTCTTACCCTTCCTTCCGCCTTCCCTGTTACCCTTCTACGAATACCCTTCCACCCTTCCGCCAGCCCCATTCCGTCCCCGTCCGTCCATTGCCCCGTCCACATTAGACCCGACGTCTGTCCAGGGTCCCATCCGCGGGTCCGTCCCTCGTCTCTCCACCTCCTTGGTTTGCCTGTTGAATACTTCGACGAGGACGAGGATTCGAGAGGGTCAGGAGTCAGGACCTCCAAATACGTATGTACGTACATACATACATACATACATACAGAATACCTACGTACGGATATATCCTATCCCATGCCCACGCCCCATCCGTTATCCGGCCGTCGTGCAGTTCTGTCCTATCTTCTCGGCACACAGAAGGTACCTAACTAAAGTAGGTATCCTTTCTCCCTCTCTCTTTCTCCTCTCTTTTTCTCTCTCGCTCTCTCCTTCCGCCTCCTCCCCCCTTTATCACCCTCTTGTTCCTCCCCATATCGCACCCATCCCCTCACACCCGAAGACCACAGGGACGATATTCGTACAACACACGCACAGATCAAGAGTAGCAACAGCAACAGAAATAACCAGACGTACGTCAATTTACTAACGTCAATTTACTACCCAAAAGCAATTGTCGTCCTAGTCGGACCATCCGCTTGTCGTACGGTTGCGTTCTTCACTTCCCCACTTCCATGCCTTCAGCGTAATGCTCCATTGATCGGGGGGGGAAAAAAAATTCACCGTCGACAATCTACGGCAAAGCCACTGGTCTCTTCGCGGTCCGCTTGTACGATTCGATGCACCATTGAGCAAGCGGTAGGTGCCGTCCCACCTAAAACCAAACCGCCTCACACCACTTCTTCCTCGAAGACTTTCCAGCGCGTCTTGTGGACCCTCAATCGGGTTTCTCGTACTTTTGCCGCCCTATTATTACCCACTACCTCCCTTTCTCCATCCCCTAGCCACAGCGTCACCTTGCAGGGGACTTTGCCCCTGCCCCAAAAGCCGTCAGCCAACTGCATGCCCAATTCACATTGCCACCACGATCCTCTTCTATTGCCTTCAGCCGGCAAGGAAGTATTGCCATTAAGCTAATCGGACTCTATAGTCCTCATGCCGCTTCCTGTTGGTCGTGGAAATTGTTCTTCTCAGCTGCCCTAGGAAAAGGGGAGAGAAATATTCAGCTGGCCTAGTTTCGCCCACGACGACGACGAAGGTGACGACGACGTCCACGACGACCAACAACAGGCGACAAACAACACCATGGAAGCGCCACCATTAAGATACAGGGAGCCCCCGGAGCTCCCTGCTCCGGCCATATACGTGGATTCGAGTTCCTCTGATCGCCATTACAAGTTGAACCAGCCTGATTCATACAGTCTCTTCTCTTCATCCGTTGCGAGATCTATTCCAGGAGCCATAGACCCTTCAGACGTACCGCCGCCTCCATTGCCTCCGCCACGATTTTTCCCGATTGATGCTCCAAGTCACGCTCCGGACAACGACCGTCATCATCACCCGCCCCCTTTCCACGTCGGTCCGCCATCATTCAGCCCCAGTACTCACGGTGCTGTGGGAAGCATTGCGAGTTTCATGGACGAGCGACCCAACTACAAGAGGAGGGAAAGTGGTGGTAATGCTGGCAAGGTGGAAAAGGACGAGGGCTACGCGAGCCTTTCGTCTGTCGGTTCCATGAGGTAGGCGGTCCACGGTCCACGGTCCACGGCCGAGAACGGTTCTGGCCACGAGCTTTTCCGGCTTCGTGAAGAGTATGGCATGGATGGTTGCTAACGATGCGCCACTTGGGTCCCCTCCCTTGCCACAGGTCGGAGCACTCTTTGCCCGGGTTTGCAGTGGGTTTTGGTCATCTCCACAACCGCTTCCAACTCGAATCTGGCGCCGACGCCCTCACTGCCATGAAGAAGAAGCTCGATCCCCTCAAGACGCTAGATTTCAGGCCGACTCCTACCCGATCGCTCCTTAGCGCTTCGGCCAATACTCCCTCATCGCATCGACCCCCACAGGACCCGCGCCACCCTGCCTTATCTCTACCGACAGATTTGCCTTTCCATACCAAGCCGAGCGGAAGCATCCTGGTGGGCTCCCCTGATCGCTTCACCCAAACACCATTGTACTCGGCTACACCCAGCGGGAACCAACCGTTTGCCATGAGCAGCAGTGTGGATCACCGTTCTGGTGCCCATTTTGAGATGGAGCGATCTCCTCCGCGGAGGACTCGGCGCACGAATAGCGACGACAGGTCAACACAGGGAAGCTACGAGCCTGGCGAAGATATGGAGATGGACGATGCCCCCATGAACCGACTTCGCATTGATGACTGCACTCGAACAGAAGTGCAAACCGCAGGCATCAAGCGCCGGGCATCCTCGCCACCGGGCCGCGACCAGAAACCGCCCGGTATTGCCGGCCAGGGAGAGCTGCTGCGTCGTCGTGATGTGTCACGCGGCTCGCCGGCCCCGCGCCTTAGCACCATCCCCCAGGGTTCCACTCCTTCCATTCCTCCGAATCGGGCGAGGTCGTTCAATTCAGGAGGGCTTTCGGTCTTCACTGGTTTGAGTAGTATGAACTCGAGTCTCAGTTCCTCATCCTACAGCCGGCTGTCACCCAGCGGCGTGTCGCCTGGTGGTATCTCGCCCAATGCAACAGACGCCGGCTGCAGCTCCCCATACAGCGCACCCGTCTCTCTCAACCCGTCGCCGAGAGGGTCGCTATCGCGCGGCACGCATCAGCGGAACATCAGCGAGAACCGACCGGCAGTATCTCCACGGAAGGTTACGGAGGGCAAGTTTACGGGGGCGAAATATCAAGGGTTTTTCATGTGCGAGTGCTGTCCTAAAAAGCCGAAGAAGTTCGAGACGGCTGAAGACCTCAGGTAAGAAAATCCCCTTCCTACCGAGTGGTCTATTTGAGCGGCCCTCGGCCCTCGGAACCACTCAGCCAGGTAGCCCCGGTCAGAAAGAAAGCGGACTTTATATTGACGATCGGAGCAGTGCACATGAGGCTGAGAAGCAATATGAATGTTCGTTCTGCGGTAATCGATTCAAGAACAAGAACGAAGCGGAGCGGCACCAGAACAGCCTTCATGTCCGGCCTCATAGTTGGAGCTGCTCGGCGCTCACCAGCCACGAGCGAGCATTCCATGAGAGCACGAACCGGCCAGGCGAGGCTGATACTTGCGGCTACTGCGGCGAAGAATTCCCCCGAAGCGGACGCGCAGTGGTGCCGTCGGCGCCTCGACAGGTCACCAGCCAGAACCTGGAGGAACGGGCTCGCCACCTACAGGAGGTGCACAAGTTCAGGGAATGCAACAGCAGCAAGAAATTCTACCGCGCTGATCATTTTCGACAGCACCTGAAGCACAGCCACTCCGGGATGAGTGGCAAGTGGACCAACATGCTCGAAAACGCCTGCATGATGGAAGAGGACGCGAACTCGAGATAGCGGGCCATCGCTATGGCTTCGGGGCCGGTCGGCTGCCTCCCCCGGCCCAAGTCCTTTTCTCCCGGGTGTCGCGGTGCCCTTGCCGTGGGCGACCGATCTCTACCGGAAAACAAGGCTGTCTTGTCTATTCCACTGTAGATTGTCTTGTCTGTTGCCTGCCAGGCATCGGGCATGATTCTGTCCACCCCCGCACAGAACGGCTTCACACATGTGTCAGTGGGGCGCAGCAGCATGGCGGTTGCAATTGGCTGCAAATTGGTTGCATCCATGGTGATATGCACCGTTTCACTTCTCGGGCCGCAGGGTTGAGGCACTGTAAGGGCGCCCAGGTAGCACTCTTCGAAATTGTTGCTCACGGGTCTTTATCCCTTGAAGAGGGTCCTTCGGCCAGATACCTTCTAGGACCTTTTTTTGTTCGGTTTTTTTCTCTTTTCTTCTCTTCCTCCCAGTTTCCCTCTCTAGTTACGCCCTTTTTTATCGGAATTCGGCGGGGAAAAAACAGTTATTCGCCAAAGCCAATATAGCAGCGAACCGGCTGCTTACACACAGTCCGCAATGGGGGTGAAACGAAGCCAGAGCCTGACGGATCCTGTGTGCCGATCTCACGCATGGACGGCACGCCCTGCCTCATTCAGCGACAGCACGTTGACACGGCCAAATTACCTACCTTACATCGCACAAGCGGCGGGCGAACAGTATGGTACAACACTACTGCATGCTTACCCCGCCATACTGCAGCCCCCTTCGGCTTCTGCCGTGTTTTTTTGTTTCTGTTTTTCTGTTGGGGGTGGGGGCAGTTTGTGCGGGGACTCCAGACTCAACGGAAGAAAAAAGGGCCCAAAAAGCCAGGCCCGGTTGAAGTGTGTGGTTTCTGGTTTCCAATGCTGCATGGTACGGCCGCAAATGCTGCACCGATCTCACCTTGTCCGCCGGCCACTGGCATGGGCAGGTCATCAATGCCCGCCGTGTCCCCCGCCTTTAGTCGACTGGCCAACAGTTGGCAGGATCACAGCGCAAGTTGGTTGTTGCACTTGATGTGCTGCGGGCGTCTTGTGTTGTTCTCCTTGCTCCCGGACGGAGCACCCGTTAGCTCCCGCCAAGAGACTCGGGACGCAGACTGTACGGAGTACAAATTGGTGGTCTACGGGGTGCTGGATCCCGTTTGCCATGGGGACTACTTTTGGCCTGCTAGCTTCTACTCGGCCAGTTGAGGTGCCGAGCGGATGATGCTGTCGTTTGCACCCCGCGTCGCGATGCATTCCATCTTCTTTCATCTCTCGCTTGGTTACCTCACAGAGGGCGGTGTTTGGCATTGAGGGGTGGGGTTCTCGATGAAGCACGACGACACGGATTTTTTTTTATTATTTTTTTGCACATGGGTTCCAAAGTCATCTCATGTTCATTCGTTCTTACGAGCACACGAGACATGCCGTTATTAACAGGCCTGTTCATCATTGGGTTAGGTTTGGGGTGGAGACATACGGCCAGAGGTCCCCTGTTCCCACTGCATTTGGTGGGGTGAAGCAAGTAAGCCGGGAAGAAGTAAATAAGCTGGGTCAGCCTTCAACAGGAATCAGGGGACCATGAGTACCCAGCACTGGAAATAAGGGTCTGCCAAGGAAGATGGAGGGAAATCAAAAGGAGATGCGGAAATTTGGATGGAGCAGCTGCACGTACATAGCATTGCATTCTTCTGAGTGTCACTGCGTGAGCATATTTTGGCGCCAACGGGAAGCCTAGCAACGACTAGAAGAAGAAAAAATAAAGAAACAAATAAATGAATGAAGAAAACAAGAACCGTGGACTTGGAGCTCTCAGCTGGAGTTGTTGAATAAATGGAGCGTTTTGTTAGATAAACAACTTGGATGATTATTAGACGCTGTGGTAGTGCCTAACGGGGTGGGACTTTTCATCCAGGGTTCCTTCCCTTGAATCCATTTTGCTGACAGAAGGTAGTAGATACTGGGCACGGGCCTATTTCTCGGTGTATCTAAAGTCACTCTACCTGACTAGCAGGGAAGAGGATTATACCTGAGTACCTATTCGTAGATTCAATCAAGTTGTTCCTTATCTCGACTGTCACAATGCTTGATCCGCGGCGCGACCCGGGGGTCCGCGGGGGAGAAGGGGGGGGGGGGGGGGGGTTCAATTTCCGGCCGTACAAAACTAGTAAGCGCCAACCACTGAGTTGCACGTAGGCCTCGGGGTAATCGAGTGTAGGGGATGTTCCTCTTATTGCACGCAGGTTTTGAAGCAACGTGTTACTCCGAGAATATCCAATACAAGTCGTTAAATCGGATTCGAGACATTTTAAATGCCGACCTACCTTACCTTACTCTACCTGTCTACGCAGTATGTAATTATGCTGGCGTAACATTCAGCCCTACGACACAGACGCCCCGCTGTGGAGATATGACCAACGGTACGTACCGCTAATAGATACCTGGGCGTATCCGTGCCCGTATCTAGGTACCGTATGTACGTGTACGACGTACCAAACCATCTCAGACAGATGTGGCTTGTTAGCAGGACTGCTGTGGCTGATGTTCCTTCCTGAATGTACACCCCGCCAACGTCTGTCAACCAAAACGTTTGCCGAAACTTGATTCTTCAACTTGCGAGAGACAATTCTTGACAATACACCTATTCCCCGTGTTTCCGTTTCGGTCTCAATTTTTTTTCCGCATCTCTCACATTACTTTAGCTAGGAAGACCACAGCCCTATATCTTCTCATGCTATCCTCAGACGAAACGTTGCTGCAAATTTGACGTATCTACATTTTTCATCAGTTGGCGTTGTGCGGGGTATATCACAGCTTCACATCGCCATATATGAACATCCCGTGTGAACGCGGTCACAACCTCGAAACCTGATAACTGGTCCCTGAGCGCTTCGAACTTCCGGGTACAGCGTCATCTGGCACCAGAATCTGGTTGGGACCATGGCAGTAAACCGGATTGAAGGGGACGAGGAGCTCCACGTCGGGGGGTGAGTCTTAGTTTTACCCGCTCTCCTGTCATGACGCATCCGCATACACAACAGTGCCAGGAGTGGTTCGGCGGGATAAACGAACAAAAGCGTGTTGACCAACCAACCCGCAGCATCTGGGCCCTGAAAAGACCCTCGGCCCTTGCGGAGCGGGGCATCACTCACGTTCTCTCCGTCGTGCGTTGCAGTCCCTCCGAGGAATGGGGACACAGGTACAGGCACATGGTCATTGACGTCGACGACGTAGACGACGAGGACCTGTTATCCGAATTGCCTCGCGCGGTGCGATTCATCGAAGCGGCCCTCCACCCGGAAACCGCCCGGGGCGACGCTGCCAAGAAGGACCAGGCGACGGGTGAGGACGACGAGGATCGCCGTGGGATGACGAGCGACGCCGAGAGGAGCGACATGCGCTCACGACTATCCGACAGCCCCGACGCCATCGTCCCAGCACCGGCTCTCGAGGGCCTGGCGCTTGCCGACCCCGCCTCCCCGTCCGCCCCGGGCGCCGTCTTCGTGCACTGCGCCATGGGAAAGTCCCGATCCGTCGCCGTGACGGCCGCTTACCTGCTGTACAAGCACCCTGCCAAGTTTGGCCGCGCGTCGCACGAAAACGCGGCGGCGGCAGCCTCACGCGCCGCGCCGACGCCCGCCGCCAAGGCCGCCGTGGAAGCGGCCGTGGCGCACATTCGTCGGGCGCGCGAGATTGCGGAACCCAACGACGGGTTCATGAGTCAGCTGGAGCTGTGGTGGGATATGGGATGCCCCGCGGCGCCCGGGCGGCTGGAGGCGAACCCGGCTTACCAGCGCTGGTGCTACCGGCGGGAAGTGGAGCGGAGCCTCGCGGTCGGGGAAGCGCCTTCGAGGATCCGGTTCGAGGACGAGGAGAGGGGCGGGGAGGCTGTCTCTGCTACGTCGGCGGCCGCGGCGAGGAGGGAGGAGGGCAGGGAACTACGGTGTAAGAAGTGCCGGCGGGTACTCGCTACGGCGGGCTTTGTGGTGGATCATCAGCCCGACGCGCGCGGGGCACATGAGAGATATCCCGGACAACAACGACAGCAGCAGCGGCAGCAGGAGCAGCAACAGCAACAACAACAACAATGTCAGCATTTCTTCGTCGAGGCGCTCGGGTGGATGCGCGGCGCTCTGGAGACGGGGGAGCTGGAAGGGCGTCTTACGTGTCCCAACGAGCGGTGCGGGGCGAGCCTGGGACGGTATAGCTGGAAAGGGTTTAAGTGCAACTGCGGTGGGTGGGTGATTCCGGCGTTCAGCTTGGCGCGGGGGCGAGTAGACGAGGTGAAGACCGGAGTAGGGCGAGGGAGAGGCGGGGTAGACGCCAAGTCTGCGGCGGCTGCCAGGGTGGCCATGGGCATTCGAATGCCGCCTTCTGTGGCGCCCAGAGGAAGCAACGGAGGGAATGGAAGACTCTGAATTGGGAGCTTTGCTGGAACCTGGAACCTTGAAATGAAAATGAATTCTGGCCGCCGTCCAGTCGTTCATTCGAATCCCGCCGTGCCTCCTCAGCTTCCATCATGCATGAGGCAGCGGAAAGTTCTCACCGTCTTCCAAGTTCTTACCTAACCCTTTCCCTTCTCCCTCTCCCTCTCCCTCTCCCTCTCCCGGCCCTGCCCGACTCCCATGCAAATTCATTTATTGTCTACCGATATTGCCTACCGATATTGTCTACCGATATTGCTTGGCTGGCGGCATACACGCCGGCGATGGCTGACCAATGTCATCTGGGCAACATTACTCCCCCTTTCCTCAGTATGTCTCAGTCAGGGCCACATTTACATCAAACAATCACCAATCCCTTCGGCATGATCGTCATGCTTCAACGGTAGCCTTATTCTTTTTCGGGGTTGCTGGACTCCCTTGTGCAGAAGAAACCTTCCTATCGAGTGACCAACTTCTTTTGAATATCTGACCCTCTTCTCCCTGCATCATCTCTCTCACCGCCCCCGCCAAGGTCTCTAAAGGTACCTAGGTACTTTAGGGAGACGAAACTCGCGAAACTCCTTTTAACTAGGTACCTTACCAGTGTACCTTATGAATTACCGTCGACTTGCCTGATCGGAACCTGCAAATAAAACTTAGGGAGATATACGTTGCAACGGTTGTGTTTCGTGTAAGTACCTACATATGAATGCGGTACGTAGTATATACTGTACGCCATACGTCTTGGAAAATGCCTGTATTCGGATAGCCCGAGCTGATGATGCCTGCATTTTCAAATGGCCTCGCAGTTGTACCCATCTTGAAGTCCCCTGTTCCCTGACATCCGTGACTTGTCCATGCCAAATTCCTGGTAGGCTGATCCATCTGATCCATGGACTAGCAGTTGGTGTTTTGAAGACGGGTAGACGGGAGAGTTCATGGACTGGTCTCCGCCCAATCTAGGAAGACGTCCCTTGGCGCTCTTGCTCTTGTTTAGTTGGCCCTATAGGGCCAGGGGCGGTTGGGCGGTTGGGCGGTTTACTGTGCAACATACAAGGTATTCCCCCCCAAGCTGACCCCCAAGTAATTACAGCATGTACGTTGTACGTCGTACATGTACATACAACGTACATTGTACTCCGAAATTAATTACCCCGTCCTCGTGAGCACCACAGTGTGTAAGGTATTTATTAGTCGATACCCAACGGCCCCAACCTCCTTGGGAAAGCCAAGGTGACCTTGGGGCGTTGGTTGAGCGACTCCTTTGGCTTGAACCCTGCCTTACAAGCATGATTAGGTACCTTAGTCGGCATTGGTCCTGGCGCGTCTTACATGGTTCTCCGACTTCTTAATTTTAAGTGCTGACACAATGATGTAAGCTGAGCCTTATAAAGCAGACCAAAAATAATTAAAACGCCTCAAGTCAGCAGCCGTGCACGTTGTTGGTGGAGCTAACTCTGTAGGTGTAGGGGTGAAATCAGTCCAAAGGTCCTTTCTGACGGTGAGCTGCAGTGATCAGGTTGCGGCAGTTCGCCCTACATACTAAATCCCAGGAAAGGAATCAGCCTGGAAGTTCTTTGGGTCACGGACTTGGCACCGAGCTGACCAGCTATTAGGGGGAGGGAAGGGGGTGTATTCTTTCACGTGACTTTCTAGAAATCGACGGCTGCATAAGGCCCCCCTGTTTAATATATGTGAGGTATCTTAGATTCACGCCACGGTGTTCGAGAGTGAAGACCCCCAAGCCCTACACCGTAACCCCTGGGTTTTGTATACCGCCCACGAGGGTGCATTTTGTGTTAGGGGGTTAGAGGGTTGGGCGTCTTCTCATTTGTGGGTCTGGCTCGATATGATGCCGTCCGGGGTTATCACGGCAAGATTACGTTGTATCTCTGGAGGTTGGCGAAGTAAACATGCATATGAATAATAAAATACTTTGTAATAGTGCAGCATTCCTTCCCCAGGACAAGGGTCATTGATGAGAATGTACTGAGTACAACGTACGACGCGTGGGGGATTTCGCTCCTCGTTGGGGGAAGACGCAAACAAGAAAGAAGAGGAAGAAAAAGTCTGCAGGGTCAATCTCAGACCCAACGTGGCTTTTTAGGCAGTCGCTTGATTGGCACACTACGTAGGTAATTGCGTCCAAGAGGAGGGAACCCTTGTCGTCCAGCCATAAGGCGTAGGGCTACAACCTGGAGGTGACACGAGACGAAATCGCTCGAGGGCCCACTACTCTCAAGGACCTGACCTGCGGGGAGGGTACGTTGTACACGTACACCGCACCGGGCCCGTCGGGTCCGGGCTGACTCAAAGTGCCCCGAGTCCTTCTGGTTCAGCCTCGTCGAACCAACCACGTTCCCCGAGCGCCGTGGACTCAGTATCAACACAGGGTCATCGTCCTTTGTCTTGAGACGCGTCCTGACGTTGCCGTCCCCCACGAGCAACCGGCTATCCCCCTTGATCCCCAGTCCGGGAGATTCGGTTTTCTATGATGAATGAAGGAGCCGGACGACGATGGAGCCGAGCTACATATGGCGCAGAAAACCAGATTTAATTTGTGGACGGCTAGTGGCTGATTGGTGTAGCACGGCCAAAGATGCCGACAGCTGGCAGCGCTAGTCCTTTTGTGGAAGAAAAAGGAAATGCTGAAGGCTCGCGGATTGTGGGTTCGCGGGGATGTGATTGATATCACAAAATGCCTCGAGGCTTTTCCGCCGAACTAGGCCAGTAGGTCGGTCTCGTGAATTGAAGCCCGGTTTCGGAACTGTGGCCCGAGAACAATGTCTGTTCAATAGTTCAATACCCGAGCTGGCAATAAAAAGCCCGTTGTGAAGCGGACGTCGGCGAGGTCGCGATGTTGATGAGTGTTGCCCAATAACTAATTACCCGAAACTCAGCCTCTCGGGATGATTTGGCGACCCTGTCAGCCTGCCTGTCTTTGCAATATATGCTGACCCTCGGGATACCGGAACAGGCCATTCCAGAAGGCTTGACGATCTCCGAAAGGAGTGTCTCATCCCGTATCCATGTAGTGCGTTCCGCTTCTTGGGAGGGTGAAGAGCGGTCGAAACGCGGCGTTCTCCATCTGCCGAGTACTTTGTAGATTGTGCGCCGCACGAGAGACCGCTGCGGACCATACGTACGAAGCAGTGCGGCAAAGGACGGTGCAGCTTCTCCAAGCGGAAGTATGGAAGGATGGAAGTATGCAGATAGAAAGGCGCCCAGCTCTTCGGCGCCGTCAGGAAGAGCTGCCGGGAGCACCCTTGGGCACGGACGGGAAGAAGGTCGGTTGCATCATCCGTTCTCTGTTCCGTTTCGCAATTTCCATCTGCCGCTTCTTCTCGACTCGCATGGCGAAGAAATTTCTGTCGCGAGGGGGCTAATTAGTAAATGATGTACTGTGGTTGTTGAGGCGAAAACAAAGAGAACGGCATCGTGAGACTCCTCTAACCTGTGCAGGGAAAACACCCGGGGTTCATCTTCGGGGTCCGGGGTGGAGGTTTCGGTTTTCCTGTCCTGTGTTTGGTTAGTGGACAGAGCCAATATCAACGAAACGAGACCCTGCCGATGGGGCGTGGGTAGAAGCGCGGCCGTGCTAAAAGGAGGGGGGCTCACCTTTTGAGATGCAGAGTCCTGCTTCTCGTCATCGACCTTACTGCTCTTGTCCTTGTCGGCATCTGTATCCTTGTCTTTATCCTTGTCTTTATCCTTGTCTTTATCCTTGTTTTTCTCCTCCTGTTCTTTCTTCTTACGCTGTCTCTCCTCGTATTCCTTCTTTACTTGCTCAAGCGCATCTTCCAACTCCTTCTTCTTCTTCTTGGCCTCGACGGCGGCCTGGTCGATGATAGGGGAACAGAAATGCGTGTCCTTGAGATGGCCCGGGCATGCGTAGAAGAAGTCCTACGTACAGTTAGCACGAGTCCGGCCTCTGACCCTCTTTCTATTTCCCTCTCCGTCTTCTTAACCCACTTCTCTTTCTATGGGAGCACGGCACCTTTTTTTCGGGGGCCACAAGGACACTGCTGGTGGGCCGATGACATATTTCGCAGCCTTTCGCGTTGGTCTCTGCGACCTTCCGGTGAGTGTAGATGTTGGCAAAGGACATGGTTAGCCTCTCGAATACCGCCGACCCATTTGACGAAGTTACGGCGGGGGTACACTAGTAAACGGCTGAGTGGCGTCGTGTTGTGCTTCGGACCTGACGATCTGGACAACGTTCACTGAATGGTGTCGAAGTTTAGGCGCCTTACCTACCTTAGGTAATAACGAAGTAGGTAAGGAGGGGGGAGATGAGCTGTGGTGGAGCTTCTCAACGGGCTCGACTGGTCCAAGCTCTCGAATAACCTTGATGAGCGATACTTGATGAGCGATAAAGGATCCAGCGATAAGTGATAACCCATAATTAAGATACCGCACCTTACCTGAGGTAAGGTACCTTAGGGACAAATCATTCCTTGTTGTTTGGTCCCCCCGAAGTCGGCCTGGGCCAGCAGAAAAATGATCCAACGCCCCAAAAAAAAAAGGTGATCGAGTCATAGCTCCCATTGAAAATCCCAACACAACAACTACAGGCATTTTTGCAACCATTGAAAGTAAACAATGGCTTCCCAGTCGAAACCCGGCGAGAACATGCTTTGGGGAGGCCGCTTTACCGGTAGGTTTCCAATTTCCCTGCCAATTGTCTATTCCCACGGCCCGTCCCTCCTCCCACCCAGGCCTGCCGTAGACTCAATAGAATACAGGAGACTGACTACATCTCCGTCTCTTGTTAGGCGGCCTCGACCCATTGATGGTCCAGTATAACGAAAGCATCTTCTTCGACAAGGTGCTGCACAAGCAGGACATCTTGGGCAGCATTGCGTTCGCGCGCGCAAACTGCAAGAATGGCATCCTGACCCGGGAAGAGTTCGAGGCGATTGAGCAGGGTCTCTGGCAGGTGGAGAAGGAATGGGAGGAAGGCACTTTCAACATCATCTCGGGCGTCGACGAGGACATCCACACGGCGAATGAGCGGAGGTTGGGCGAGATCATCGGCAAGAACATCGCCGGCAAGCTGCACACGGGCCGCAGCCGCAACGAGCAGATCGCGTGCGACATGCGCATGTGGCTGCGCGACGAGCTGCGCAAGATCGAGGCCCACCTGGTCAGCTTCCTCCAGGTCACGGCGGCGCGGGCGGAGAAGGAGATGGACCACGTCATGCCGGGCTACACGCACCTGCAGCGCGCGCAGCCGATCCGGTGGAGCCACTGGATGCTGTCATACGGGTTCGCCTTCGCGGCCGACCTGGAGCGGCTGCGCGAGGTGATCAAGCGGGTCAACCGGAGCCCGCTGGGGTGCGGCGCGCTGGCGGGCAACCCGTTCCACATCGACCGCGAGGCCATGGCGGCGGAGCTCGGGTTCGAGGGCCTGCTGTGGAACTCGATGGGCGGCGTGGCGGACCGCGACTTCGTGACCGAGACGCTCCAGTGGGGCGCCATGCTCATGCAGCACGTCTCGCGCTGGGCCGAGGACCTCATCATCTACTCGGCGGCCGAGTTCGGCTTCGTCCGCCTCGCCGACGCCTACTCCACCGGCAGCTCCCTGATGCCGCAGAAGAAGAACCCGGACAGCCTGGAGCTCCTCCGCGGCAAGAGCGGCCGCGCCTTCGGCCACATGGCCGGCTTCATGATGACGCAGAAGGGCCTGCCCAGCACGTACAACAAGGACCTCCAGGAGAGCGTGGAGCCGATGCTGGACCACGTCAAGACGGTGGCGGACAGCATTCAGATCGCCGAGGGCGTCTTGGCGACGATGGAGACGAGGCCCGACAAGATGCGCGCCGCTCTGGATCCGTTCATGCTGGCGACCGATGTGGCTGATTACCTCGTCCGGAAGGGCGTGCCATTTCGGGAGACGCACCACATTTCGGGCCGGTGCGTGGCCCTCTCGGAGCAGACGGGCATCCCGATGAATTTGCTCACGTACGAGCAGCTGAAGGGGATTGATGAGAGGTTTGACGAGGATATTGCCGAGACGTTCGACTACGAGAAGAGCGTTGAGATGCGATCTGCGCAGGGAGGAACTAGCCGGGCGACCGTCCTAGAGCAGATCAAGGTGTTGCGGGAAATGCTGGCTTGAAGGTTGCATGTGGGTTGAGAGGGTGTAATAGGGATTGGGTCAGAATCCCCCGGGCGTCTTGGGCATCTTTGGGGAAGGAGGATGAACTTGGTCTTTTATATTTGAAGGAGCGGGTCAGATGGGGAAGAAAAAGAAATGTAATACATTGCGTGGTATTTGTATTTTTTCCATCTTAGAACGGACTACCTTATTTTCGTCCATTGTCATGATGCTGGCAGAATGGTGATAACTGTCGCATAGGCACACGGACCACGACGTGGTCCATAGGGGATCCAGGGGGGATTTATGTTGAATAGATTATAGTCTTTTCGGTTACGTAACGGGCCGGATTGCCAAGAGTATAATCCGGGTGGACGCTTGCAGAATCTGCACTATATAAAATACGGTGGTAGCGTTTCCCTGACGGTCTGACACAGTTATAATTATACATAATTCCCTTAATCAATTTTAACCTATTGTATAACGATTTTAACTACGCTTTATCTGATAATTAAGAGTCTTACTTACTAAGTGAATTACCTACCTCTACTACTACTACCGATTTAAGAAGCTATCTAGCTACGCCGATATAGCGAGTCTATTCTATAACCTCTATATAACACTTTACGACTATTTATAATCCTGTTACGTAACCGTAAAGATATCGTATCTTAGCACTATTACGTATAAAACCTATAAGGATTAAGAGCTTTAGCGATGCCTATACGAATCGGTTACCACCTATAATAATATATGGAGGTTTCTCCACCTAGTTAATCCGACTTAAACCCCCGAGGAGCCTATAATACCGAATTACGACTCTTTCCCCTCTATAACGCCTAGGCTTACCCCTATATAATATCTTAACCTTACAGACGCCGGCCAGAAGGCGTACGACGTTAAAATCGCGCGCTAGAAGATTATATAAGCGTAATACGATAGCTACCTAAAGGGGATCAACGCTATACTAACCTAGCAGGTTAATACTATCGACTAAAGCCGTAGATAACTACTACGAGGAGGTATACCCTATAAGGTGTACGAAGCCGTTAAACGCGATACGGATTAGTACCTAGCCACCCGCTAAATCGACACCTATAAAGAGTATATCGAGTATACTCGTTATCCTGCGAATAGCCTAAGAAAGCTCAGGGAGTGGTTAGATAAATAGCAGCTACTACTATAAAGCTATAAAAATACCGGTTCGAAGCCCGCCACGTATATATAGGTTATAGATTTCTTTAGAGGTATACGCCTCTATACCGGCCGCGATTAGATAAAGGCCGAGGGACGCCTTATAGATAACTAGGTAGTTATACCCGAAGACCTTTATACTCTCGGTTAGAACTATATTAATACTAGACTTAAAGACTAAGGAAAACGCGGTAGCCACCGCGCTATAGTATTCCCTACACTATATACCGGAAGCGAAAAGGGCGAGGATACCTTAAATACCACGGCTAAGCCTAAGAAGGGTGGCCGTGGGAAGAATAAAGCTAAGAATCCTATAGCTATACCTTCTACTAATTTAGCTAACCGTTCCTTTTCTAAACGCCGCTAATCTACTCTATAAAGAGGGTAGATCTACCGCGTATACGCTATACCTAGCCACGATATTAACGCCTACTTCTATCTATTCCCGGATACGGTATATAATAACTAGACGCCCTGCGAGAACACTAAAATAACCGTCTAACGGATCCTTAAATACGACCCCGCTCTACGCGCGGAAATAGAAGACCTACGCGCCGTAAAGAAGGTGAAAAAGGATATAAGCCGGGACTCTGTATAGCTTAAAGAGGCGTGACTCGACTATAGCCGCGTCCGTAGTATCCGTAACGGCGTCTCCCACGCCGCTAGCTTTATAGCAGGAACCGCTACTACTAGTTACCCTCTTCGAGCCTCTGCTATCCTTAATTCCGGTGCTATTATTTATATTTTTAACGATTTTTCCCGAATTTCTGATTTTATACCCGCCACGCAGGGAGACTACGTAGTAGCCGGTAGTTTGTCCCTGCCTATTAAAGGTTACGGTAACGTGACCGTAAGATTAAACGGACTATTAGGAGGCCTCGATTTTAGACTATTAAACGTCGTATACTACGAAGATTTTACCTATAATTTAATCTTAAACGAACGGTTACGACTACGAGGATACTAGTAGGATTAGAAGCCACTAAATAACTGTATTCGGCGTTCCGATAGATCTATACTATACTAGCTAAGTCACCGCTTTAATTAAACCGTTATTAAATACGTGCTCTCTAACCGATCTACGGCTGCTTTTCTAGGCTTTTCTTCTTCTTCTATTACCCGAAAAGCCGTTTATGAATCGACGATACGGTATCTAAGCACTATAGAGGGTATCCTGTGGTATCTACGGCTAGGGCACGTAGGCCCTAAACCACTTTAGTATCTAGAAGAGCAGACGCAGGGGGTTAAAATCAAGGGACCAATAACTATCGACTATAAGGCCTACGAGCTTATAAAGATAAAGCGGTATATTAGCAGGCACCCTTATAACGCACCTGCTTCTATAGGGGAGCGGTGGGCGATTAATTTCACGGATTTTAACCGAACGTCCGAAGGAGACTCGCGGTTTATATTTTTCACCGACCGTTATAGTAGTTTTACGGCCACCTATATTATAAAGAGTAAGCTAACAGTGGATATCCTTATAATAATCAAGGAATTCCTCGCCTAGGTAGACCGCTAGTTAGGCTATAAGGTGCGTGTTTTCGGATCTAATAATAAGCTAACTTAATCCCACGATATCACCTAATTTCTACGTGAAGAGGGTATCCTTTTAGAGGCCTCTGCTACCAATACGTAAGCCTAGAATAGAGGTGCAAAACGCGCTACTACTATAGTTATATCGAAGGGTCGTACGATGAATATCCACGCTAAACTACCACCATTTATATAGCCTAAGCCTATTCCCACGGCCGTATACGTCTATAACCGGATACCACGAAGGCAGTAAAAGGATTAGAAAACGCCCTATAAGGTCCTCTTTAAAAGGAAGCCGATTCTATCACACCTTTATGCCTACGGCTATACGGTGTACGCGATAACTAAGGACGCCTAAAAGGGTGCTAATAAACTATAAAATCATATTACTCCTCGCGCCTATATCGGCTACCTTATCGGCTACGATTCCACTAATATCTTCCGTATCTAGGTGCCTAGCCTACGACGTTATAACCGCGTCGTCCGCACGCGCGATGTGGATTTTAACGAACGCGCCTTCTTTAACGGCGATATTAACGCCTTTAAGGACGACCTCCGTTAATTAACCGAGAAGTAACTAAAAGACCTAATTAGTTAGATTAAGCAGGAGAGGACTAGAGATTCACGGCTGTTTACGGACGTATAAGCTAAGGACCCCTCCCTTTATATAACTGCTTATTTTGAATTATTAGATCCGGGGATAAACGCCCCCGGATCCCCTTCCTCAACGGCTTTACCGTTAAGGTTATAGTCCGTAATACCCGGCCGTAAGGGGGTGGAAGAGGCTAGATAAAACTTAGGTCACGAATAGTACGATTTAGCGGGTATAGCGCCTAATTACCGTCTATAACCACCTATTCCGCTACTTCCCTCTCTACTAGTAACCCCGCCGTCGGTTATAGCGCTAATAGTAGCCGTTATATTAGGAAATCGTGATACCCCTGCAGTTATAGCCGTAGGGTTCCAGGATAACGGAATACGGTGCTACGATACCCCTATAGCTACGGCTATAGGGCTCCTATTAAATAAAGGAGCATAACTAATTCGGTAAGGAGATAGCTAGAAAAGAGACTATTAGGTAGCTACGTTTAACGCTAGCCACCACGCCCCTAATATACGCACCTTAGATAGGACTCCGCTAACTAAATTACAGTTAAAAAGGACTACTCCTATAATGCTATAGCGGCGTTTATCGCTACTACTCGAACCTAAGGCCCCGATAGCTATCTCGGAAAATATAACCCCGGCGGTAGCCTCGGGAAGTATTACTCCGGCGGTTACTCCGGCGGTTACTCCGGTAGCCTTTACCGCGAAGATCTATCGTAAAGACCTCCCCCCTCCTCTGAACAACCCTCGCGATATACCCTTATACCCTTACGGCCACCTATTCCGACAGGTATAAGAAGACCATCTACGGAGCCACGAGGAGATAGGGTCGTGGATACGGGTACTAGCGTCTACCGCAGATAAGAATTAGGTTCTTAACTCGATATAGGTAATAATATATAAATTCGATAAGTATAGGTTTCTATATAAATATAAGGTAAGGCTTATAGTACGAGGAGATTAGTAGTATTAATCCTCCCTCGAGGAGACGTACGCAGTAACGCTACGGGATAGGTATTCCGCGCGATAATAGTAATAGCCGCCCTTTTTAACCTTACGCTATTATAATTTAACGTTATAAATGCGTTTATATATGCGTCCCTCCCCTATAATATTTTTATATACCCGCCGCTAGGCTTTCTAGCCCCTAAGAGTCGTTTATACCTGAAAAAGGCGCTATATAGACTTAAGGAGTCCCCGCTGCTTTAGTAAAAGCACTTTTCGGCTATTCTTTTAGCGGACGGTTTCTAGATAGTGCCGTAGGAACCGTATTATTTTCTGCGCCGTGGTTTAATCCTATTCTTCTACGTTAACGATATCGTTATTACTTATAAGGAATAATATAAGGCGTAGATAAAGCAGGCCGTTAATAACCTATAACGCCACTATAACCTATAAGATAGCGATCCTCGATAGTGGTTTCTTAGTATTAAGGTTATTCGCGACTGCGTTACCCGTAAAATCTGGCTATTATAACGCGACTACGTTATAAAATTAGAACGCCTTTTAAAGCCGAATAGTAAGTATAGCAGTAATTACTACCTAACACACCTAATCAAAATCGCAGAACTACTACCCTATTTAGGGACCTCGACTAATATCAAAAGCTATTAACGGAAGATAGAATCTATGCTATACGTAGTAGTGATATCGCGGCCTGATATCGCGTTTATAGTATCTAGGCTATACCGCTTTAACGTTAATCCAGGGCCTATACACTATAAGGCCGTAGATTATCTTATTCTTTATCTATTAAAAGCTAATCGTTTACGTTCAAACTAGGGGGTAGCAATACTATCGAAATCTATACTAATGCCTCGTTTACCGATAATACCCTCGATCGTAAGAGCAGTCAAGCGTTCGTGATACGCTTATTTAGCGGTATAATAGCGTGGCGCGCTAATAAGCAGGATACGGTCACGACGTTAATAACAGAGGCAGAGCTATTAGCGTTAGTATAAGATATAAAAGAGGGTATCTTTATATAACGCTTATTACTTAGTATAGGAGTAGAATTTAACGATCCGGAATTAAGGACCTTATACGATAATAACTAAATAATTCGATTAGTTA